AATATAAAAATAACTTTAAGACCTAGACTCTATCCTTATGGATCTCACAGTTTGGTAGGAGACAGACAGGCAAGAAAATAATTACAGTACAGCACTAATAAAGGCAAAACGTCACAGAAGCCAGGACAGTTCAGCAGGGGGTTGAAAACTGAACAGTTTGCATTCAAATGATTTGCTTAAACACCCCTTTTCACCTCACCCTCCAAATAGTGAGCTCATTAAAAGGGCATTAATCATGTCTGTATTCTCAGAATCTAGTAGACCATGCAGACCATAGCAGACACTCAAAACATTTCTTGAATGGAAAAATAAGAGACTGCATAATTACTGATTAGGAATAGTTTATAAATCATTCCATATCGCGATCTTCTCCAGAATTACTTGCCAAGTGAGAACCATCGTGCGGAATGCCTGCGAAATGATTCAGAATTTACAGTGGTGACGTTAGTAAGGAAGAGAAAAGATGCTTGTCTCCCAGGTGCCTGTGAGGCGCTGCTTGGTTGGCCTCTGACCCGCTCCCCAGGCCCCACCACCCACGCTGGGCAGCTCGCTGTTCCACAGGGCCCTCCCCCCATACTGCCTCGCCTCGACTTTGCACTTGCTGTTCCCTCTGCCTGCAAAGTCCTTCCATCTGATGTCCAGACGTTTCCCTCCTCCTCGTCCTTCAGGTGCTGGTGCAAATGATACCTGCTCTGTGAGGCCTTTGTGACCACCCTATATAAAAATCTACCTCCCTTCGCTTCTGTGTTTTTCTCCTCAGCACTGATCATCATCTTACATACAAAGCCTTGTATTTAGTTTATCTTCTGACTTGCCTTACTACAATAGAATGCAAGCTCCACGAGGGCAAGATTTGTCTTCTGTGCGCTCTTCATTCCCAGCACATCAGGCATTCGCCAGCTGCTTGGAATAACCGGGTGTGTTGGGACAACTGCATGCATGTAATGGAGGTTAAGGGCAGACACCCCAGACCAGACCCCCTGGTCTGTTTCCTGTCTCCACCAGTTGTTAACTGGGTAACTATGGGCAAGTTACTCATGCTTTGAAAACTTCAAATTGTTCATCTGTAGAATGGGGATAATCATAGTATTTATACCTTATGAGCTGTGAGAATTAAATGAAATGATGCATTTAGAAAGCTTAAACAGTACTTGGCCCATCACTCGCACTCAAAACACATTTACTACAGTACTACTCAATATTATGGTTTTTATCGAAAGGGAAGAAACCTTAAGATACATTCTTTAAAAAGTGTTTTAATTACATACAAATATAAAAAAACATCGACAAGCAACACATTAAAGTTAGCTTTTGGCATAAATATTCTGTGATAATTTCTGTTTTTTCATAATGAATTTCTGTGAGCATGTGAATAAATTTCTCATAATTTCACTTGCTAGCTCTCTCAAACTCTTCCCTAGAAAAGGATAAAATAATATAAAATAAACTGAAGAGATTTTAAATTCCCTTTAACGCTAAATAAACAAAAGAAATCAGTTTACAAAAGCAACTAAGAAGGAAACAACTTAGCAAGAAAGAAGAGAAATCTACAGGATAAGCAAGTCTTTACAAGTTTGGGATGCACTCCTCATTGGAGAGGAATTTATTTTATTAACCCACAATAAACTGGATTAAAACAAAGGTGTACCCTTTTGAAATGCTATTTCTCTTTTTCGAGAAAAAAAACTAAAGGCCATCTCTTTCATGAATACTTTCTTTAGGCTCTGGTGAAATCAGACCAGCCCCTGAACATTTTTCTTTTTTTCCAAAGCCTTAAAGCATGTGGGGGCCTTGTCCATGCCTTTTCCACACCCTTCACTCATCCCTTTATGCTGTTCGGTGATTGCTGTATACACATGCATTTACCCTCCCAAGGTAGGTTCAAGAATCCACAAGGCAGGAAGTGTATTTTGTGCTATTTCCGTAACCCTGCCTGGCTCAGGCTGGTCGCTGAAAGGGCAATTACATGTCTGTCTGAAGGAACACACACATTTATCATCTAAAACCTGGGAAGAACTGGTACTGCCTCTGAAAGAGGTAGCAGGCAGTTCTCTGAAGATGCCTGAATTAACCATGAAGTTATTTACTAAGCAGTCATTTATTCAGCGGCATTAATTTGCAATAACCTTGTAAAATCACCTACATCACAGTAAACTGATTTAGAATTTTAAGCCAAGGGCCTGAAAAGAGAAATGCCACCAATTCCTAAACCATTCAGCTGAGCCTAAAAATGTTAAGTTTTCGAAACTCATGGTCACACTCCTAGTGTTTCTTTAGACTAGTAATATGAAACTGAAGAGCATGGACTCTAGAACCCTACTGTCTGATCTGAATCCCACCTCTGCCACTTTCCAGCTGCATAACCTTGAGGAAGTATTTAACGTCTCTGTGATGGTTTCCTCACTTGTAAAATGGGGATAAGCTTCACAAAACTATGGTGAGGATTAAATGAATTTATAGGTGAAGTGATTTAGACAGGGGCCTAGAACTTGGAAAACATTTCATAAGCGTGAGCTATCACTGGCATTATAAGCATTATTAGAAAGCTTTCCTCACTATCTCATCTTATTTGATGAGATACTCCAAAGAAGCAGATACTTTGGATTTGGTTGGTTATAATCTGGTTTCATATATATTTCCAGGTTGTGACAAATGGAAGAGCTCCACTGGGTATAACTACAATTCTTTCTCACACTCATTTTAAAGCGTAAAGAAAATGTCTGTTTGAACTCCAGCTCTGCCTAGGTTCTCTGAAAGGATTTATTGAAAACCCCAAGTTGGCTGGAACATTCCTGCTGCTTACCTTTCAGTGGAGTAGCTTTGTATGAGTACAGAGGATATCCATTTGGTTTCAATTTTCTAATACACAAACACCTCATTGTACAGTAAATGGCAACATGCTCTCAATGATCTAAGGGCACATTGTTTATGCTCCTCTATTTTCTGTTCTACTTTTAACACTGGTGATTAAGTTTCCTGTCCCTCACAACAAACACCTCTCGATTTATTGTGAGCATCCAAACAAGTTAGTGGCTGTTAATTTTTTAAAATACATAAATAGCAAAATCGAGTCAGTCTTTCAACAGTTCAAATATAAAACCCAAATGCAAATCCATAAAGCTTCTGGTTACATTAATTTTTTTTCTATTTATATAAGGAAAACCACCAGGTAAAATATAATTTAGTTTTTAACTCAGATTGAAAACTCTGGATGCAAAACTTAATTATCAAGCGTATTTATACAGGTTAATAAAAGCTTAATAAATTTCCCCATTTTTCCATGATGACTAAACAGATCTACTTTTCTCTCTTTAAGGCATGACATTAGGTCGTATACAGGAAGGGCACTTAAAAAATGCTTCATTCTTTGGTGGAACTGTTCACCTATATAAAAGAATCCCATCTTTTAAAATATACCCTGGAAAGTAGGTGCACTTCAGGTTTTCTGAGATTCGAGCATCCTGTGGTCCAGAGAATCACACCAATAGGAACCACCACTCAGAAAATTAGGCGAGCTCCAACATGTCCCCAGCAAGGTAAGGACTGCAAAAGTCGACAGGGCCTGACATTCTCAAATCCTCCACTTCACAGATACAAAGGCTGTTGCCAGGGAGGGTAAATGATTTGCGTGCTCAGGCAGCTCCTTGGTGCCAGAGCGATACTAGAACACAGGGCTCCTGACTACAGACCAACCTGCCAGTGGCCATGGCTCTCAGTGCAACCAAGCCACAGGGGCTCCTATCATCTGGCAGCAGTAATAGTAAGTACCAACTCCCCACTTAGGCCTCAACTCCCCAACAGTAGCAATATCGGAAATAAGGATTATTGCTTCTCCCAATGTCTTTAGCTTCTCTTCTGTGTTTCTCCCTAAGGATGAACTCCTCAAGCTGATTGGTGGAAATGTATTGCTAATCCCTCTTCCTCCACCCATACTTCTTCCTGGGCCTGCGCCTCAGGACCTTGATGCCAGGCCCAAACCGAAATAAAACACTTCTGCACATGATAGGCTTCTCACACAGTAGGTTTCAGAATAGGATTGGAAAATAGAGCTAAAAACACCAAGGTGTGGAGAGGAAAAGCAATCCTTTGGGTTTTGGTTGGTTTTGTTAGTTTCTGTGAAATGTTCTCACATGTGTGGACACATAATGTTAGAGGCACTTTTTTTTTTCTTTAGACCATTCAATAGTAGTCACTATTTCATAAGGGAACTTACTTCTAAATCCTTCTGACATGCCTTTAATTTGCTCAAGGTTGTACCTGTTAAAATAAGGGGTGTTCCCTGCAGAGTGTTCTCAGTCAGTGGGAATGGCTAGCAGGCTTTCTGACTGAGTCCCTATGAAATAGGCTGATTTTTCCATTTCCTGTTCTGATTCGTCACACAGAAAAATCTGTCCACCAGCCAAATTTAGTAAGACACCTAACAGCTTTTCTTGAAGTTCTCAAATTTCATAAACCTAATATGATTTTAAAACCACTACTTCTAAAATACAAACCAACATAAATCAAAGTTGGTATTAGAAAAGTTTAACTTTTTAGTCATCCTTACGTCCCTGGAGATTTAGAATACATCTTTCAGTAAAATTCAAGAGAAAACTAACCTCTTCACAGGTGGTGAGGGCACATTGTAATTTTAGCATATAACACTTACATGTTATGTAGCACTTACCTATTTGTAAAAAATTTAAAAATGAAAAGATTCGTCCATAACAGGTGCCCAATTATGTATTGTATTTATACACGCATGCTTCTAAATAGCTTATTAAGTGGCTTTACATACATATATCTCTCCCCAACTAGCCTTTAGATAAGGGCTGTGTCTTTGACTTCTTTTTCTACCTTCCCTGGGTAAGATGCGATTCCACCAAAGGCTAAATGCTTTAATGACAGAATGTGTTAGCTCTAAAACTAAAACCTGTCTTCCTGCTTTCTGACATGCCTAATTTTACACTGGAATAGTTCATAAACTGCTATAAGGCACACCTGAATTATCTTATTCTTACCAGAATTGGACACACGCCTGATCCTCTGAGAAGATAAAGCTCGATCAGAATTGAGATTTCTGCTGTCAATATTCCGCCTCAAACAGGAAACAGAAGGCCCCACTTTAGCTTTTGGACCTGGCGTCTTCCTCAAACTGGAGGAGCCAGGCTTGGGTACATTCCTGCCGGAGGGGGTTGAAGTTTTTGAAGCAGAACCCTGTGAAGGAAAAATCGTTAAGGTTTTAGTCCCGATCACACCTTCCACATAGCGTTTCCCTGTGGTGGTAGCTATGGGCAAAACAATTTCTGTTTAAGTGGACAAGCCAGACGAATATTTAATTTTCATTTTTTACTACGGAACAATTCAAACTCTTTGTAGCTTACTCCTCAACTCATCAACACGAAGCAGTCTCTAAAACTTAATTTTAGCCACCCATCTCAAAGCTGACCTCTTCCCATATTTACTACAACACACCCAGGCACCCAACTTAAACAATAAAAGCTATTTCTAGGTGCTTCCTTTCTTACTTCCTAAACCCCCTCTTGATGGCGTTCTCTCCTTTCTCCATCCACCTTGGGACAGGCCTGCCTCATTTCTGGCCAAGATTACTAACCCATGTCCTCAGGATCCTTCTGGTGTCACCAGCCCTCCATTCGTCTTCTGCTCCATTGCTAAGGCAATCGCTCTAAAGGCCAAATTAAGTTAGGCAGCTTCCCTCTGCCTTCCAGAGAAGTCAACTCTTCTTAATAAGGTTCGCCAAGCCCTTCTGGATGGAGCAGCCCCTGCCATTTTCTTCAGCGTATTCCTTCCTCTTCATGGTTCTGCACTCCCGGCCCCATCAAACTTACTACCTGGCATCCCCTAAATGAGAATATCCTGCTTCTTCATCGTTGTACATGTTATTCCCTCCACTCGCAGTATCTTTCCAATTCATACTGCTCTTTTAGTTCCAGATGGTGACTAACATTCTCCCTAGAAGCAAGCCTTCCTATTAACTGTCTCCACTGCCACCATCCCATCCACTTCCTGCAGCACAACAGCCTATATAAAGCCCCAACTTAGTACTACTTAAAATACCCTTTTGGTTTATTCTCTTATATTGCCCACTGCACTGGGCACTAGGATGGGCCAGGCGCTTCCTTCTCTGTATTCCAAGAGTCTCCATTCTATATTGCACACAGTAGGTACCCAATAAATGTTCCTGCTGTACATATAGGAAATGAGAACCTGAGCCTTACTCAAAGAACAAACTCCAGTACTGTAAGCTATCATTTGTATTCTCCCTTTACATAAAGAAAAATTGAGCCTCATGGAGACTAAGTAACTTGCCTGAGGTCGCTTTGCTAGTGAATGATGGAGTTACAATATAAAACCATGTCTAACTCCAGAATCCATGCTCTTAACATCTAAGCTGCATGTCACCCACTAGTACCCTTATTTATTTACTTAATAAATCATAAGTGCATAATCTCCAGTAGACATATGTGAACCCCCAGGCTGATGGCAGTTGAATTCACACACTAGGTGAGTTAAAAACTAACTCAATAGGGAAATATCCTAAGAAAACACTGGAAAGCAACATACAATTGGCCAAGAAAAGCAGGCGATTATACACGAACTTAACGATCTCCTACCTCTACTGTAAAACTGACTAAGGCAATCCCTCAGAGACAACTTTCTTTTAAAAAGTAAAGCAAACTTTTAACCGACTTACAAAAGTGAATCTTTAACAAATCAGATGTACTCTGCCTTTCAGGACCAACATTCCACAAGATGTTGAAACCCTGTGGGGTATATCGCAGAAAGGACCAGGATTCAAGGCAGGGGACCTGAGACTGAATCTCAATTTTATGCCTCAGTAGCTGTGTGTGTTAAGTAACCTCTCTGAAGCTTTCAAATGTGGCTAACAACTGCCCTGTTGTTACTGGGAAGAGTAAAGGACAATGTATAAAGCACCTGAACATCACTGGAAAAACTAGGGGACATGAAATGTATAAGACACTTAAGCAAAGAGTTTGGTCCAAAACAGGCATTGAAAAAAATATCGAATTCTTTCCTTTCAGATAATTCACCACTCCCTTTATCACATTATCACCAAAACATAACCTCTGTCATTGGTAGCCATGCTCAACCTGCACCAGAATAAAATCAAATTCCTTCATCCAAATAAGAACTTGTCCTCAGTTTCAGATAAACACTGCCCAAACACCTGTGAGGTTGCAGACAACCTAAAGATTCAGTAAACTCAAGGCCCAATTTAGCCCAACATCAATGGAGCACACTGAAAATTAGCATCTCTCCAAGACTGTCTCATCCCAGATCCAGGGCAGATTTCAAACCCTTGCATCCTGCTGAAGTGACCAAAAAACATGGGCATTTGAGTAAAACGTGAAACCAAGGTTCCCTCCTTCAGCTCCTGACAATTCGCACGAAGCCTATAGCCTGCGATGGTTGGTCCTGCCTCCTCCTCCCCATACATGGAAATGTGTAAGAGGTAAACCAGTGACAGTAGAGGCAATAGTGCTTAAAACGGTATCATGGGAAAAGACTGAGTTTGTTTGTTTTAATGCCAGTTGATAAGTAAAAAGGTGTCAATGCTGAAAATATGGGAACACCAACTGCAAGATTCCTAAGAAGAAAAGCGTTTCTTCTCCAAGATGTATTGGCATCCATTTTAATCTTGTGATTCTATTGCCTTACTTCAGTATCACATCTTGAGCCTGAAAAACAGGCTTTCATTCTGCACATAGGGAATATAAAGCTCAGCCTTACTCAATGCACACGTCACAAAAACTTCTAATTTCAAAATTAGATAGCCAATTTATATTCAAGGCAAATACTATTTAAAGGAAACTTGATGTTAGCTTTTCTGGCAGTTGGCAATAGATGCACAATACAACTCTCCCACAAATCAAGGAGGAATAAATGTATTGTTTTTGCATATATCTATAAACACCAAACTAAGAATACTGATTAGAATTACCAGAGATTTATTATTTAATTTAGTAAAGTATCAAATTGCAAATGATATAAAATGAGTGTCCTATGTTTGACTTCAAAAGCACATCAAAAATAAACTGTGAGTTTTGAAATAATGGGCAATCCCATTACTTCAGACATAACTGTGGTGTATCATTCTTCCTAAAAGATTATAAAAGCCAGAACATCTCTAAAGTGATCTAGCTCAAGAGTATCCGGTCTTTCCTAACCTTACCCCCCAAAAGGACCTAACAATCCCCTATGCACCCTGAAAACACTGCTAAACAGCTCTTTAACACTTGACCGCACTACGTGTTCCGTTCCTCTAAGACATGGGCCCTCCACACAGATGTCTCCCTTCTGCCTTCCTGCCCTGACACCTACCTCCATTCCTGGCGCAGAGGACATAGCCTGAGAAAGGCCAGTGTGGACTGAAAATACACCCACGTTCCCACTGCCAAAAATAGGGCTGAGGACGAGCACACACAGCCCCACAGTGGCCTGCCAAATGTTTTTAAAACTCAGAAAACTCATTTCTTCATGCTCTTGTCAAAAGTATATGCATGCTTAAAGAAAAAAAACAATCTTTGAACGTCACGTGAATTCTTTTTTAAATGGAACTATCTAGTTCCCCCAAATATCTGACAGGTGCTATAGAAAACATACCGCTCTTACACTATATAAGAGTAAAACAGGTCTTGTTTATTTTTATGTACCAGGAATCAACAAATTAGGGCTGCAAGAGATGTCAGGCGTCACCTTTGGGTCTCAAAAGATTACTGGCCCAAAGTCACACTGGCTGATCAGAAGCAGAATCCAGACAGCTCCCGTTCACAGGAGAGGACGCCACTTCCCAGAGCGGCTTCCCCAATGAGAGCTCAGGAGTTATTTTTATGTTGATACTGTTTACCAGCACTCCACAGCCATTTCTTAAATGTGGCCCAAGCCATTTTAAAGTTCATAAACCTTTTTTTTCTTTTTCATAAATATAAACTATAACAGATGTTTAACTTCAAATAACTACACTCAAATATTAAAGTAACTTGTTCTTTTAGCTTATTATGATACATCCAAAAGGAACATTAATACTCAACACAAAATACTGAACTTCAGAATTTTCCCCCCAGTATGCAGGTTTCCAATTAACACGCTAACATGCACTGACAAGAGAAAGAATTACTGAATCATATATTAACAGCAGAAAGCAGATTTTCACACCTAACTCTGCAACATTATTGACTATTAGTGGATAAGCAATTGCTCACACACCTCTCAGTTTCCTCCACCGTTCCCCGAAGCAGGCAAAAATTTCACTTACCAGAAACAGAGAACCATATTCAAAGGTCTCATCCATAAGATCCTTTTTCAGCTCTTGTTTTTCCATAGGCATCCCATTTTCATTTTCACCCTTCTTTTCAGGGCTAATCCTATCATGGCTGGAAGCACATGTCATTTCCAAACATTTTGTGCTTTCCATTTTGACAGGGAATATGCCTTTGATCTTCTGAAAAAACGTCGCCACGGACCCAGTCTTGCACGCTGAATTAGAGGAACTTGCTCTGTCAACATCTTCCTGATTTGATTTCACGGCAGATGTTGTTCTTGGAACCTTGTGGGAAGCATTTTTAGAATGAGTTGCAACATGCACAGCCTGGCTAGTAATGAGTTTATTAAATTGCTGCTTATGTGTCTTGTTAATTAGGATTTCTGCTTTTGCGTCTGCATTCAAGTCAGACCGTGGTGTTTTGTTCAAAATTGTCAACTGTCTTGAGGAAGACACCGATGAGGATGATGAGGCACTGATCACCGGAGGAGGTCTGGGTGTGACCTTTGATAAAGCTGGGTCTTTGGACTGCAATGCTGGTCTAGACATAACTTTTGCCTTGACATTCTTGAAGTTTGGTCTTGGGTAACTTATAATTTCGGTTTTTCTAACTTTGCTGCCTACAGGGGTACTCGTCTTGGTTGTTGATTTTCCTAGATTAGGTTTATTAGATATGTTCATAGGTGGCCCCTTCAAGTTTGGTAAATTTCTTAGCTCTCGATTACTCTTCTCCACTTTACTACATTTCTCTGTCACTTCAATAGGTGAAATAGAAAAGGTTGCATTCATGGGTTTTAGGACTGGCACTGACATGCAAATTGCATTATCTGTGCTAATGACCATGTCATTTGCTTCCCAAGTCAGTTCAAATGATGAAGCCACTTTCTGTCCTAGTGGGCTACTTGCTATCAATTCTATGGTACAAGTTGGGGTTCCCAAATCTTTTTCATTGGAGGCGATTTGTGTGTCTTCAGCCACAGTGACTGCACGTTCTGGATTCAGCACTTGGGCATTACTTTTATCAAAAGCCGGCACCAGTAAAGGGCATTCATCATCTATAAGACAATCAGAGACTGTTTCGCTTAGATTTTGGCCCATTTCCTTTTGCCTGTATGAGCTCTCTGAATGTGTCTCATTATTTGGTTCATCTTTACACAAACAAAAGAACTCTTGTAACCCAGACCCATTGGGAACGTCCATGCCATCAGAAACAGGTGTTGGAGCTTGTATCTCTTTTTCTCCAACTAGTCTTTGCTGTGGCCCATCTGTGTACTCACTGTTGACATTTCCTGAAGAATATTGCCACTGATTTCCAATATCTGGAACAGAAACATCACTTTGCATCACCACATCAGAAAATACTGTGTACATTGTGTCTTGGGCCTCTGATCCTGTAGCTTGAGGGTCTTCAAAACTAACTCTGTCATAACTCATTCCTCTCACCTGTATCTTATCAGAATGGCCAGATGGAGGAATGGAACAGGATAGAGATTTATTACCACTTTTCGTGCCAGTAGTCTGCAGAGTTTCAGTGGTATGCAAAGACGGACTTTTTCCAATGGCATCATGTATTATAAAGGTGCAGTTACCATTATCCACCTTCAGGTCAAATGTTTGGTTTAGCTCCAAGGCAGCTGGGTAGTCTGTACAGTTCAAATCATCATCGTTAGATTTCCACACAGAAGGCAGAGATGTCTCAACAGTCTGGTCCTGAAATGATTCTAGGGAATGATAATTGTAATGCAGGTACTTGGGCTCCTCTGTATTTACATCTTGTGCAGAAGACTGACATGTGGAATCTTGCATATGTAATACCTCTTTACTAATGAAATCACTTGAAGACTTTTGGTGATCATGTGCTTCCACATACTCAGGGTTCAAAGAAATATTTTCAACAATGTCCACAGCAGAGTTGGTTTCATAATCAACCACCATGTCGTCTTCTGGGTTGGCAGGATTCCAATTCACATTGTCAGTTGAAGAGTTTTGTGTAGGTGGTGATTTTTTGTTGTATGCATGTGTGTTTCCATTTTTATCACTGATAAATAAGGATTGCACTTTATCTTCTGTCTTGTCATCTGAATTATCATCATTCATCCTGAATATTAACTTTAAACCTCTGCCATTTTATTTCTTCCTTAAATCCTTTCAAGTGAGAGGGAAGGATAAAACTGTCTCCTAAGTTTTTCAGCACAGTTGAAAGTTTCTTAACATAAGGTGCTCTGAAGTTGAAATGACTTGTTCCCTAGAAGAAATAAAATGATTAACTCAAGTAAATATTAGAAAAATTAATGTCACCACTTGACTAATTTCAATCACTTTATTTTTACATTTAGAACCTACAACTATGGATATGGGTAATTAAGATATCATTAACTAAAGTGTCACCCCCTTTGAAAGATACTCTTTCATTTGAGGGAATGGGGCAAAATGGAAGACTGAGACGCTGATAAAACTGCACACGTCTGACTTCACACCTCAGATGCCTCGTCCCTACTTCCAGTGATTCTTACTTGTTATAAGAGCTGTATCTGACAACAGTCTTTCCTTCTGGTTGGTTGACAGAATGACCATTGGTTCTAATTTGTCTAGGACAGTCCCAATTTATGCCTGTTGTCGCAAAATAATTAGTAACAATGCCCTTTTCATTTTCGGAAGGGTCCCCTATTGTTTCCATGGAGAGTGATTATCAAACAGACCTGGCAGGCACAACAAATGAGCTGAAAGATCAATGAAGATTTGGGGCATTTGCATTTCTCTTTTCCCTGTTTCCATTCCCTATCTCAAACATAGTCCATTTTCAAAGTTGAGAAAAAAAGTTTTTGATTCTTAATAATTCAAGTGGTACTCTATTGGAAGTTCCTAAAAATGTTCAAGAGTGACTGTATGACACAGCAGTTCTACTCCTAAGGATCTACTAAAAATAAATGAAAACAAATGTCCACACAAAAACTCATACACAAATGTACACGATTCCTAATAGAAGCATTATTCATAAAAGCCAAAAAGTGGAAGCTACCTAAATGTCCATTAACTGGTAAATGGATAACAAAATATATATGCATACAGTGGAGTATATTCTTCAGCAACAGAAAGGGAGTATTGATACATACTGTAACATGGACACAATGTTACAACTTAAAAATATTCTACAAAGTAAAAGAAGCCAGTCACAAAAGACTATATATTATGTGATACTATTTATATGAAATGTCCAGAATAGGTAAATCTATAGAGATAGAAAGTTGATTAGTGGTTCCCTAAAACTGAAGAAGGGGTAGGAGGGAAGGAACTGAGGAGTGACTACTAACCAAGATGGTGTTTCATTTAAGGGTAAGGAAAATGTCCTAAAGATTATGGTGATGGTTGCACAATGCTGAAAACTACTGAATTGTACACTTAAAAAAATCATTTAAAACAACCCATGAAAGCTTTCAAATCCAAGGATTTCTGCAAATAACTAAATTTTTATTATGTTTGTAGTCAAATTGAAGTGCTTAAGAAATGCCAAATGTTCAAGCTAGGACTGCAAAATAAGGCACAGTTAGACATTCACTCCGATTGACTTTCTAATCCTGATACTTACTGTCAATCAGATGGATGTCACAGTTCTGTTCTGAAGAAATAAAATATCCATGAGAAAAAAACAAAGACATTCGGGGACCTATGAATTTGTAAATCCAGAGTAGATCTCATTTTTTTCTATTTTGCAATCTTTTCTCTGTATTCAAACTTCAGTGACCTAAATACCACCCGGAGAATAGAAACGACGGAAGAATGGCAAGGATCAGTATCTTCACTAACAGTGCTCTGTGTGTCTCTGGCCATGGATCCCGAAACCAGTCTGAACAAGGGAAAAGAAGAAATGCTGCAATGTTTATCTCAACAGTACGCATGCATGTGGATACTGCACGTGTGCGCACACACAACACTCAAAGAAAGATTCTGAATCCTAAAACAAGGCCTGCATGATTTATATACTGATGAAAAACGTAAATTATTGTAGTCCTTTTTTCCCATCACTGTTCTTTAGTTAATAAATCACTGAAGTAATAGTTTTTTGGCTAGTGCCTTAATAAAACCTTTTATGAAACAAATTAAGATTTTTAATCACTGGGTGTGAAATATGTTCAAGCTAAATGTTTATATTAAGAAGTATGTTTATTCATTTTTTAGAATTATGTGTGGGGGGTACAAAGTCAGAAAGCACTAAATATGCTGCACCTTTCTGTTCCATGAGGCCAATGCTCATTTAAGAGATTGTGGTATAAGCTTAAGTATGAGTGCTGCAAACAGAAACATTTAACAAAAATCCTAGAAGTTATCTGTCTGTATAAACAGATTTATTAAATTCAATTGATGGAGCTTTTACTACCTGAGCTCCCTCTTCCAAAGTACATAAAAGATGACTTAAAAAAACAAAACCTGATAAAAACTGAATAAAGTAAATGGTTCACAAAGCAAAGCATTTCAAGTTATTTTTTAAATAAGTGTATAATAGGATAAATGATACCACCAGTTCCATGTCATTTTGTTTAGGTTGTTTCTAGTTTTCCTCGTTTATAAATAACACTACATTAGACACCTTCGCAATCTTTGACTACTCTGGTTATTTCCTTTGGAAAAACTTCCTGGAAATAAAAGCATTAGTGATATGATTTTTAAGGCTTTTGATATAGTTTGCCAAATTGTTAAAATAAAGAAGAGCAGGATTCTTTGTAATGTCTATATTAATATATGTACATAATAGATTTATGTCCTGAATATTGCTTTTAAACCTTATGCGTTTTGTTCAGCATTGTCCCCCAAGCATTTTTTTATGTCATTGTAATATAAAATGTTTCTAATGGTTGTGAAATTCCACTAAAATCTAAATATTCTAGATTTACAAGATAGTAGTTTACAGAGTAATAGAAAATAAATATCAACCATTCAACTTCCATATGACTATTTAGTACACTTGGGTTTATGATTTTTTTAATTCACAAAAATAAATCAATTCCAAACTTGGTGAGCAAAGCAATCTAGAAAATACCACCAAAAAATGTATTGAGAAGAATCACTTCAGATAGGTTTTGATATGAAATCAATTTACTCAAGTCATTTCTACCTTTGCAGATAAAAACAAAGAATAGGTGGTACAGAGATTTGAATACCAAAAATATTCTGAAGGTAAGCTTATCAGTTCCAGGGTGAGTTGGAAGATCAACTTCACCACTCACTAAAGAAAACCACAGCTTCTAGTTACCATCACTATCAAAGATAAAGACATGAACAGCAAAGCGCTGACCAGCCTGACCTCAAGGATTTTGTCAAAAAATTTTAAAAGTCAGCCATTTTGTCTTATGGCCAATTTTATTCTTCTTCTACTTTAAGAATGGTACCCAAGTTTCTACCACATGCTAGACTCATATTCATTGACTTAATCTCACTGGACCCATCAAGCAACGTCTTTGTATTTCTGTAACTGCAATGTAATTTGGAAAGCCTTCGAAGTTACTATCTTGGGAATTTATTAAAGCAGAATCAAAACATTTAAAAAAGAAAAAATAAACAGAAAAGGTTGGAATACATCATTCTCACTCAAAGGGTTAATTTCTCAAATTGTCTTTGGTAACACTACCAAAACAAAGGAATGAGCAAGTGTCCTTTCTAAGAGAGCCATTTGAGAAAATAAAGAGCTCTTTTTCAGAGAATATTTGGGATAAGAGAGAACAAATTTCCTACTTTTTAAGATCTGGGGATATGATAGGGTACTCCTCTTGAATAAAAAGATTTACCAAAAATATGTATTTCTATAATGATTTGTAAGGTTAAAAATTGATAAATATGTACTAAAAGAAATGGTGAAAAGAACTACTAGTATAAGATTTGAGGTATTTCAACACCTTGGGGACAAAATAAGGTTACTGTCTAAATCTTAGCTTAAGAAGTGATTGTTTATTACCCAAAGATAAAAATTCCATTATTTCTTACAAAGAATAGATACACATGAAAAGTTGAATCATTATTTAAATTAAATCATTATCATGTAATTAAATTTATTATCATTATAATAATAATACTAGAAGACATTTTAGAGATCCAATGCAAACTTTCTCACTTTACAAAATGAGGAAACCACTTCGAAGAAATGAACTGCATGACTTGACCAAATCAATGGCTAAGAGCAGATGACTATTAGATTATACCATAGCTGTGAGCCTTATTTGCCCACTGAACTACTGTATAAACTCAGTAGGAGCTAATACTTCAGGACCTTCTATGTCCTCCAATTACCTGCAGTGCCTAGCTCAATAACCTGAACTTAATATAGCTAAACTTGCTCCCTGACATGACAACTATGAAATAAAGAAAGTTTCTACAAGTCACAGGTGATACCTAGTTTCATTACTTTATAGCCATAGAGAACTTTAATTTTACTCCTTATTTATGTCAGCATATGGCATACTAGTCTTTTCAGATTTGAATACAAACACAGTTATAACTTATAACTTACAAACCATAAAATCATGTCCATCTTCTTAACTGTTTTTAAGAATTCACAAATCACAATAGTAGTTCAGCTCTCTAGGTTTTAAAACCCAAACTATTACCTGATCTTCAACACCAAAACAGAAACAGAAGACATATATATAATATCTAAGGTACAACATTCATTCAATTCTAAAGTAAAGAAAGCACTTGAACAAAAAGTCATCAGTGTATGCTGTCATAATTCCCTACCTCCTATTAAAATCATTTAAGGTACCTAATAGTTTTACCCCTAAGCCTCATTATATTACAATTTTTCACAGTTCAGGCTTAAATTCTTAAATTAACTCCTACACGCTACTGTTGATAAACTCAACCTCCTCCAGCACTGAGTTTAGTAAAACACATCTTACTCTGAGGGACCAAGTGTACGTAAGTACCTAAAGTAGTCAGTTTCCTAAAAGCGTAACGAATTCCAGGGAAGCTCTTAAACAGAGGTGAAGCTGGGGTGGGTTTATTTATTTATTTTATTATTATTACTTTTTTTTTTAAGCTGAGCCATCCTGCCACCTGTTGGCAGCTCGGCGGCTGCTCAGCTCGAGCCAAGCATCGAACTGCTGTTGCTCAGAGCTCAAACTCTTGAGTGAGCTCTCAACCAACTGAGCCACTTGGCCGGCCCCGTGGGCTGGGTTTATTTAGCAGATTTCAAAAGGAAGGCTATGGAAGTGCCACCACAGAGTTGGACTTGATTTAGAAAGCAAGTACAAATCA